GGGTCCTTTTGAAAGGATCTGCACTGACTGGATACCCTAATAAGACCGTTGGAGATGATGGTCAACGGTCAAGAAGCCTCTAAAACATTCTAAAGCAGCCAAGCTGTAGCAGTGCATATCCATCCTTTCCAAGAGATCCATACCAGCTGCTTCCAAGGGGTTACCTAGCTGGACAACCCTTGCCTTCACTGCTTATAGGTCACCATTGGACACCCATTGGAAGCGCTAGGTTTAAGTTGCACCTTTCGAGCACAAGCTTCACAGGCTCTGACGGTTCATCCGAAGGTATTCACCAGTGTTCAACAAGTTGGTCTTGCCTCACCCTGAGGACCAAACAATGATCAACATGTGAGGTGGACTGCGAACGCCTGCAAACAAACGCAGAGTTGTTTAGCATGTTGGCTATAACTCAATCGTCAAAATCGTCAAGTATGAGATTGTTCTTAGAGTCTTCACAGGTTTTTGGACATGCTTCCTTCAATTGCTTCCTTACATTGATCTCAACTCAGACTGCAGGTACCATCTCCCAATGGAAACCAAAACGGGCGAGATCCACCAACAAATAGGAGCCTTTCTGTTGATCGTTCCAAACTCTGGTCGTTCACGAACCCCAGAAACAAGAACAAAAAAACACCCAGACACTCCATGTATGGAATATATGCCTACATTGACCCCCAAACCAAACCAATGTTGGCATATATGGCAGTCCCATGGAGTGTCTGGGACATGTTTGTTGCTCTGAGAATCTACACACCCAAATCCATTGGATCCTAAAAAGTCACGTTCGAGAACCGTGCGGTTGGTTGACTCAAGCTGGTGATGTCATGTGAAACTCCTTCTGGGCAACTCGACATGCCGTACAGGCCACCAGGTTCCTGCTTCTCGTTACTCTCCGAACTAAAATGGTCTTGGACCTTGGAAGAAGTGGAAAGAGGAACATGGTCTTCCAAGTGGCCATGCCATCCACTATATAACCATGTGGCCGTTCCAGGGAGTGCCATCCTTCCTGAAGAAACATAGCAACCTCTTGATAGGGAGGGCCCGAGGATTGGAAGCGGAATGCTATGGAATGCTCTCTGGTGACGCCACCAGAGCACATGACATGCAAAAATGCAGACCAAGCACAAGCAAGAACGACCATCGAAGATGCTCACGAAGAGACCACACCTGCTGCAGCTCTGGTGATGGGTGCGTCTGGGAAAAGCATTCGGATTGAGACAAAATTGCAATTGTTGCACGATAGGGACAGGTGTGGAAAGGTATGTTTCGGGAACCAATATTGGTCATGGTGCAAGCAAAGAGAGGAGCTCGCTCTCTCTCTCTCTCTATACTCCTTGTACAATGAGCGATAGTTGACAAATTTGAACATAGGATCGGTACAGCTTGGGGGGATGCCACCACACATGACCCTTCTTTTTTCTCTCAAATTGGCCCACTCCTAGAAGCTTGTGCTAAGCCTGAGTCTAGCCGAGTCTAGCCTTAGTCTAGCACAAGTACTGCGAGAGAGAGAGAGAGAGAGCTGTGTCAATGAGGAGTTCATGTTGTTCACGGCCTTGGACGACACCGAGGAAGGCTGCTTGCTCCAAGAGAGCTAGCTTGGCCAGCTTGGCCCCTTCGTGGAAAACCCCCTCCCCTTCGGCCTCCTTCGGCCTCGGCCCTTCGGACGGTCTCCAGGCTGAGATCGCATCTCTGAAACCGCTCGATCACCGCGGCGTTCGGCGCTGAAACCGGTCCACCCCATGGGCCCGGAGGGTGCGAACCGCGAAGCGCGTGACGTCACCCCGGTCGGGACGGTCGCGTGGTCTCCTTCGGTCTCCATGGTGGCGGTCAACCAGGATCGACGGTTTGTAGATGTGGAGCACATGGGACATGTCAAGTCCTTTTGCGGCCCCGATTCGGGATTCAGGATTCCTGGCCATTTCCCGCGAGATTCTTTTTGCGTGGCACCATTGTGCTGCAACCTTTGAGGAATCCTTGCCAAACTTCCAATGCAAAATGCCTTTCAAATGAAACCACCTGCAGCTTCAAGCCAGCATCTTGATTGGCTGGCCCCTGAAGAGAAGAACAGAAAATTGTTAGCCGTCTGTGGATCCCAAACAATTCAGCCACCTTTTTTCGAACAAACTGGATCTGGCTGGTGCTCCTTGATTCTGCAGAGCAATTCCCCTGGTAGCATTGCCCTGAAAGGCTGATAGTTCCATCCAAGATACAGTGAAAATGGAACCGAGGTCAAAGAAGACCTCAGATGCGATCAACAACTCCCTTGGTTTCCCAAAGGATGCGCATCAAAGTGTACTGACATAGAGAGAGGGCCTCTTGGTAAAATGACAGTTGGAGGAAAGGTAAATGAGTAAAACTCATTGGTGGGGAGTCTCCCGATTCTAAGCCTAATATGTAATGCATTACATACCCAAATAAAACCAAAGCCAAGGAGGTTCAAGGGCCACCCCACAAATGTTGGTCGAGCTGCCTCACGTGGCACAACAACCACCTGACCAAAACTTCCGCCCCACCTGACCAAGTCTGCTGGGAGCACCTGAGCACCTGAACTCCCTATAGCTCCGTCCACGGAGTGGCATGATCAGGTGCCGTGTGGGTGCCACACACGCACACGGCACCCACGCGTCATACGCGCAATACGTTGAAAAAACAAACGACCGAAAAAGGGATCATCTACCGTCAACTATACCGTCGTAGACTAGGAGTCACCTCGTTTGGTAAGGGTTTGGGGAGCGGAGCGAATTGGACAGCTCGCTCATGCTCGCTCCCTCGTCTCGACGCCTAGCCATCAGCTTCCGGATGAATCCGACCAAGCGGATTTGGACCCGGCAGTTGCTACCCTACACTGTCCATTATGTCGGCGTCATGTATACTGAAAAGTGGAGGGGCCACGAAGCCGGCGGCATCCTTCATGCCGAAGTTGTAGCCAAAGAAATCCGCGAACCTGGGGTCGCTCGCACTCGGTCCATGGCGACCGAGTGGGTCCGCGACAAGCTCCGTTCGGTCCGGGATCAGGAGCACGATGGAACACCGCCTTTGGGTCTGAAACGAATCCGCTCGGTCGACCGGGGGGGGTTGTAACACCTAAGAACTTCGATCTAAGGAACAATAAAGACAAGTTCCATGAGTGACACGTGCTGAAAGGAACTTCCTGGGAATTCACTCATTCTTTGCAACCTCTTCATCTTTCGTGGGGTGTCCCCAATCCCCCAAAAAGGCTTTGCAGGTGATGCTGACAGGGTAGGTGCAAAGTACGCCCCCCCGATGGACTACTCCAATTTCGGTGTGGCTTTCATTGAGATTGCCTGCGAAGCAAAACAGGCGAGATATCTTGCCATCCCAGGAAGAACTCCTTACAAAAGCGTTGGACTGGTCTTAATTGATAATGTTACATTATATGTCATATGTTGATTTCCAGGATCACTCAGAAAACCGAAACGTGGTGCTCTCACGTGCTCACTCTCACGAAATCGTCGCCCCGGGCCCCAATCCCAGGCACATCAAGCCCATCGTGAGGATCATGTATCCTCCCACAGCAGCGACCACTCTGGCCACACCACTGACATGACTCCTCGGATCGCGAGCAGGATCACCGGAGCTACCATTGAATCACTCATGCAGCGAAAAAACGGGGGAACCCTGGTTGACCACCGAAAATGAACAAATTCCTATATTCTTTTGCGGGATGTCAACCTACCATAGAGGGGAAGGTTTTGACTCACAACCATTTCACATCATTTCACGCAACCAATGGACATGTGTTGGGGTACTGCAAAACATCTTGGTATCTGTGTAAAAACAAAAACAAGAAGCTTGAAGCCCCCCGGTCCCGGTCCCTGGGTCCTTGAGCCATAGCGACATGGGAAAACATAAACATCATCGATCAGGTCTCTCGAAATGTTGCACGTTATATCCATCTCGGATAGATCATTTACTATACGTAGTGACCCTCCACATTTGACTACAAGAACTATAAGTATTCATACGCCATCAAAAGGAAGGCCAGTCTACTGAGTTGTAGAACTCCGCAAATGTTGTCCAATGCTCATCTATTTCACTTGCATGGAGTGTGACTCCATGGATCTTAGACTGGGCCTGTTCAACTGGAGTCTTGTTGAGCTCAGCATCAGCAGGAAAATTAAGCTCGCAGTCAGAAAGCCAGGAGCCATGGCCAGGTGGCTTGACAAGGCGGTGGCTTGACAAGATCCGCTCTGTTCGGCACTCGTTTGGTTCAGGTATCTTGGACGAAAGGTGGGGTTCGTTTGCTCGTCTGGGTGGAGTAAAAGGTGCTCATCGTACATGATACTCAGTTCCTCTGATGTTCTATCAGTTTCACCCAAGTGTCCAAAAAGGATTGGGGTTTCTGAATAGTTTGCTTTTTCGTTCGTTCTACTGCAGTTCCTCCATGCTTCAGTCTGCTAAGTGGCGGTCGTGATCACCTGTAGTTCTAGTCGATGTTTGTTGAGGTCCTTTGGCTTCATTCGAAACGCTGCAGGTCAATGCTTCGAGTCCGTTGGCTTCATTCGAAGGACCAAAGGATCCTCAGGTCCTTCGTTTTTGGTTGGACCCGCCCACCCTACACCTCCAAGTACCGTATTTAGACCCTCCTGGCACCCACCCCAGTCCCACCTTCTCAGAAGGTACTTGGAGGCCTAGGGGGAGGGCCGAGTCTTTGTTCTTCGGCTTCCGGGGCACGGTACGGCCGCACCTACCGGCGTCCAGGCGATTCCGGGATGCGATGCTTTGTTTAGGGTCTATTCGAAGCTGTCATTCATCGATGGTCAATCGCGCTGTCACCACATGCTGGTGCATTGGTGCAACAATTTGGGTCTCACCAAATTTCAGTCCACCGGTGTGAGTAGACTGATGATGATAATTTCAAATCCCCAAAGGCCTGTTTCCAATCATTTAAAGACTCAATGACATTTCGGGTCAACTCTCACTCGTACTTCTGTACATCTCGCGTGTGACAGCGTCTGAGGCTGCGGGGGGCTCCGGGCAGAGCTTCACTTGTGCCCGCTGGCTGCCCGCCTTCACAGCCTCTGTCGTCCGCCCCGGTCACCGGCCGAGTGATGACGTTGGCCATGCCCACGTTGGCCATGAACAAACACATCCAAACACATGGAAAAAACGCCACCAGCAGAAATCAATTGGTTGTTGTCCTTGTCCAATTGTTGTCATGTGACATACAAAGGCTGGCTACTAAAGGGAAAGACAAAGGTCGTTTCGCTCGAGTGCGGGCCAGGGACATCCAGTATGACAACAAATGACTTGCCCCACCTGCAGCCAAAGCTTCTTGGCCGCATTTTGATCCTTGGGGATGTCTCCCATGCCTGCAGGAAGAAAGAAGAGTTGACATCTATCGTGGAACACATCTCATGCCATGCAACTGGTGTATCCTGCCATGGAACACTTTTTAGTTGAACATCTCTAGGCTAAGAATGTTGAAACGCGTCTGGAGGCAAACCCAGCATGACAAGTAGACAAAAAATCACTCAAAACCTATATACAGGTGATTCTCCCAGTGAGGAGCCCCAAGTCTAACAAGTGGTTTTTTTTTCTACAATCATCTACAATCCAATTTGTGGGTCCGCGAAGTCATGGATAAAAGGGAAGCGGGAAATAAACACAGATTCCCCCAGAAGCGGTCGGATTTACCCATGGGGAAACAACATCACCCAAGCGGGCAGCAGAAGAAGCCGAGCCAACAACGCCAAACACATTTCTTTAGTTGTCCGGAACCCATGGGATGGGGACACCAGGATGAAACTTGACGTCCGCAACCATCCCAGCTTGGCATCCTACTCGTCCGCGGAATAAGTAGAGGAGGATGACAAGGGGTCTGGCGTCTCAAATCCCTAGATTTTGAGGGACCGGTTGGCAGTGTCCAGCAACTGACGGCCAGAGTTTTCGGAAGGAAGCATGTGACCGGGCACCCCAACTGGCCGACGTTTTATAAGCACCACTTTTTGAAGCTGGTCTTAAAACCTAGGGACCATAGTGATCAATCGGCGACTAGTTGGTGTTTTGAAGCACCCAACTCCATGGAACTTGAAAAGCACATGAGCCGCTCCATCCCATTGCAGATGGACCTTGCGGCAACTATTTCGGTGTCTTCTACGATACTAGGCGCAGGGAGACACCCTTTACCCGATCCTCTCGCCCCGGTCGCTGGTCACTGGTCTATGTTCCGAAGCGATTTGAGCTACACACCCATCTTCCGCCACCGCCCTGAGGCCCACGGGGGTGCACCCGGTGTGCGATCGAGCCCGTTCCGCCTGAGTCGAGGATCTCACCCAGGCCTTGGGGGGACGTGACGAGGGGGCACCTACGAGGTGACGAGGGGGTATGACGAGGCATGAGTTGCACCAATGGGTGCCACCCTCAGACCATCCATGGGTCTGGAATAGCTACTTAACATTAAAGGGTCATGCAGTCATACATGGGATATGTACAGAAAAGCTTCTATCCACTTTCATGAATCAGCTGCTGGAACAAGTTCTGGTGACTGGTGGAACATGGCACGATCTTACCCAGAACTTCCGGAACTTGACTCATTTTACCTACCCCACCTGGAAGTCAATCCATCCACCACTACCAGGCTGGGGTAGTTCATGGATCAGTTTCGACTCAGCGGCTGAGCGGCTTCATGGGATTTATCGTTTTCTGACAGAATGATCTTCCGAAAAACGGGCTCTCACAGAAGACCCACAAACGTCTGCCTTTTTAAGGGCATCGCTTTTAGCATTTGATTTCAAAGGGAAACATGATGTGACAAAGATTGAACATCCAGATTTCACTTCTGCCTCGCTCACTTTTCGCGGTCCAGTCTTTGCTCTGCTCTTTCGCTTGTCGTAGCTTGTGCCTGTCATTGGCTGGCCACGCTCGACATTCAAAAGTTTCATGAAACTCCCAGACATCCAAAATCATTTGCCCCAAATCATGAATGCAAGAAAATGTTGTCCAGGATTGTTCAATATGAAATGGTATTGTACTGCCAGCGAGCAGTCAGAGCATGTGCAAGACCCGAGCAAAGTTTTGGAGGGTATGGCTGCGCTATAGCTGTCCAGTCTTCTCCTCCCGGCCCTTTGCCTGTAAGGTGAAAATGTGGTTTGTGTGTAAACTCGCAACACCTGCGCCCAGAACACCGATGGTCAACGCGATGGAGATCATCAAGGGGAATATTGCCTGCTCAAATGTTGGTTCGCTTTCTCCAAATAGTTCCATAAGCACAAAAGTCGGTGGTCAGCAAACATGTATGCTCTGACTGGACCAACCTCTGCAAAAAAGGAAGATTCCAACACTTGGAACTGGAGGGGTTTTCAAGCACCCAAGGAATACTGTAGGCATCAAGTACACGTATGAGTGCTGCGCAACTTCTAAAGCAAGCGTTTCCGATGGCTATCTTTTGTTCATGTGCGGATCACTTTGGTGCGGTCCCGTGCAACTGAAAAACTGTCACAAGGCGGTGCCATCATCAGGGCCAGCACTTTGCCATTTTTGACATCAAGGTGCAAGGCCCGGAGAACTTTGCGGTTGGTCAAATCACACTGGTGGCCATACTTGATGTCCCATTGGCGCGCGACAAAACCTAGCTTTTCGCACGCAGCTGCAACGCCACCTTTGCCCGAGAAAAGATCTGCTACGTATTGCCCTTTGCCAGATCTCTGGGGAAAGCAAAGTTTGGCGGCTTTCTGCGGCCGCTCACGACGTCCCCGAAGTGAGCCTCGCACTGAAGGCAAAAGTCCTTGGTCGCTCTTGGGACTAGCTCCCATGTCTTGGCAAGTCTGGCTGACTTCTCGTAGCGGGCCACGGATTTTGCTGTCTTCCACGACCTCGCTTCTGAACCTCTAGGGGGGACCTCCAGTCTCGACTGCGGTCGATGCTCGGACCGCTGTGTCTGGTATGGTATGGCTGAAGAGCCAACCCCATTTGGCCCGAGGCCTTCTTGAATGCCGCCAAGTATTGGCCATAGTCGAAGTTCCACAGGCTTCTGCTTGGTTGGCCTTTCTTGAGCGCTTTGAAAGCTGTAGGGCCCCATCCCTTCAGGTAGGGGCTGTTCAGGGAGATCGAGACATCGAACTCCCCCGTCTTTGAAGGCACCCCATGTTCCTCTGCATTGAGAAGCACGCTCCATGAGCCCGTCACACCAGTTGCTGGCGGGACAAGACCAAATGCCTGGAGGGAAAACAGCTGAGAAGGGCGGCAGTATAGGTAGAGAGGCAAATCATCAGGAACACCGACATGAGAGGATATCCCATCTGCTTCAGCGTCACTGCCATCCCACACCACACTGCTGAAGGGTATGGAGTGCGACTGCGCCCTGGGCACAGCTTGCGCCACCCTTTGAGAGCCCGTAACGCCCGCGGCATGCGGCGAGGTCCAGCTCGTCCATACTGAGGGTGGTGATGGATCCAACTGGCAATCAGCCGGTCCCCAACGAAGGCTTGGTGCCCATTTAGGAACTGGTGGTTCATGTAGTCGACAAGCGCTTGATCCACCTGGTCCGAGTTGTCGAGGTTGAGGAACCTGGGTTTTGCAAAGCTCATGAAACGAGCGTACTCGCTCTGGTAGATCTTCTCTGTGGCCATTCCGATGGCCTTTCGCTCCAACAGACTCAAGTGATTCATGTCCTTTCCTTCCAGCAAATAGTCGACATACTTCCTCCTGCGGTGTTTGGCTCGGGAGTGAAGGAGTCTCTTCCTTTTGTCGGTCGGGCGGATCACATCTGAGCTGCTGTCTGAGCTGAAGCTTTCGTCCTCGTTCAATTGGTCTTCCCCCTCCTTGACCACCTCTTGCTCGAGTCTCTTGGCCACTGGAATTTCGACATGGGCGGTGAAGCTGGCTTCGCTGCTCATTGGTTTCAAGTGGCAAGTCGCCCTTGAAGTTCCAGTCTTCCCCGTCTCTTGTCCTGGCTCCAGGACCCGGACTCTCTTTGCAGTGCTCGGGTTCTTCTTGTCGGAGGGGATGGCCAGGTGCCGAGTGCGCTTCGGAGCCATCGTGGATAAGGTCGGTGAGGAGTTTTGAAGGTTCATCCGTATCATATCTTGAAGGTTCATCGGCGTTGTTCAGCTCGCTTGGCACCCATCTAAAACTAGGTTGAATACCACGACTGATACAATAAGCGTTGAAAATCCTAACTTGCTTCAACAATGTGTATCGACGGCTCCGGCTTCTCTCTAAAGCCAAAACAAGTGACATGTTGTCCAGCAAAAAGAGTTGACGCACGTTGCCCCCAAAAACACTCATAGCGACACGCTTCAACGCCATGACCGCTGCCCTCGCCTCAAGTGTCAGGATATCTTCCTTGTGCTTCCACTTTCCCCAGCGAACTGGTGTCCATTGGTCCTTGCGCAAAAAACGAGCAGGGACCTCTGGGAAGTCATCGACAAGTGCCCATCCACTCAAGCTCAAAAAATCATCTGATTCAATCTCCCCTGCTTTCCACTGACCCGTCAGCTCGTCTCTGACAAAGCCAGCGGATGTGAGTGAAGATTCTCGGGCAGAATGGTTTTGAGTTCTACGGAACCTTGACCTTTCTTTAACACGACCGACAGCTGCTACCTCAGACTTCTTCCAAAAAGATGTACAGACCCCAAAACCTGTAGCGCTAGCATCACTGCAACAAACAAGTTCGTTCCAGGGCCTCCACCAATCAGATCTCAAGAAAATCATCAGTCCAGCAAAGGCCTGCAACTCTTCAATCACAGAATCCCAGGCCACGGCTGCTTCGTAGTAATGCCGCCGGATAAATTTGTAAGTGTTGTGAAAAACTGCCAACAGCATCCTATTGTTTAGCCCACAAAAAGTTGCATGCCCGGTCACAATCTCAAGAGTCTGTCCCGAAAACTTCTTTCGCCGCAACAAACCCCGGATGGACTGTCTAACTCGATGAAACCTTTCAGGACTAACATGTGAACAGAGAGTTTTCCCATTTAGCACTGTCCCAAGCGCCTTGGTTCCACCACAGCTCACTTCCCCAGGATGAAGAAGTAGTCCAGTGGAGCCAAAGTGCCCATCTAATTCCTCCAGAGCTGTCGAGACAACTGCTTGATGAGGGGAAAGGACACCCAAATTATCCACATACACGTAATGCCGAATACCTTGACTGTCAGAGCCCCTGCAAGCCTCACTTTTGACAACAACTGGTTCTCCTTTGTCTTGGATGAGGGTGGAGCATGCCAAAGTTTTTGTAAGGCTGCATTGGAACTCATTGATCTTCTGGCTAAAAAACAAAGACCAACTGAACCCCATACACAATGAACCTGGCATAGGGTAAACGATGTCATTGGCTTTCAGCTTCTTCCCATCCAAATTCTGTCCTTGCAAGCCCACCCAAGAAGCCCGGATAGGCTTGAGACAAAAATACTCTGCTAACCACTTCGGTTGCCGCAGTCTATGGACGCAGTCCTTCACATCGCTCAGCCCAATGTGAATGTTCAGGCTTGCGAGCTCTGCCACGAAGTCGTCTGTTCCTGGGAGAGCGGATGGCGACAGCTCACACTCAATGCGGCTGAATCCTTCGCTCGAGCACAATTCAACTCCTGGAGGTTCCTTAAACATCACATTGGTGGACCTGGCGTCAATAATAAGACGTATTCGTTTCCCATCGCTTTTGTGGACAAAAAACAGGCCTACCTGGTTCTTAGGAGACTGTGTGTACTGCAGGAGCCCGATGCTGTCGAGCTTCCGAATAAACTCCTTGTAATGTCGTTTGCTCCTGGCCAAAACAGGATCCCAGTACGGAGGGGGGGTCTCATCCGGCTGGTCATCCCTAAGCATAAGCTCTTTACCTTCCAAATATCGACGGGCGTCTGGCGGCAAGAGGTCCACTGCATCGGGTAACCCATGCAAACTCTCTGGCAGCGAGACACGCTCGAGGCTGTAAGGCGCGAGAGCAATCGGAGCGGCTGACTGCTGATAGTCAGAACGCCCCTTGAGCAGCTCCGCAAGGGCTGCCTCAGGGCTCGGGATTTTGTCAAAGCTCCCGATGTCATTGGTCATGTTTGCCAAAATTTGAATTCGTTGAAGCACCTCTTGTTGTAGTGAATCAGGCGCCCCATCTGTACCATGCAAAAAATCACTCTTTCCAGCAAGCCAGTTGAGGCCTCGGATGGCCTCATTGGTGGTCTCACGAACTCGAATCTTGCGATCCCATCGCTGGGCTGACCTCCGAGATAGCTTCGCATCACGTGTCAATCTCGGCAACTCAGGCAGTGGAAAAAGATCACGAGCTCTCTTCGAATGTTCCGGCCTGCCACCTCCCAATGCTGCGAGCTCAAGGTGATCGGCCTGGGAGGACAGCCAACCACCTTTCCTTGCGCTCATGAGGAGGCCGGTGGAGCGAGGGGCTTGGCTTTTGCCTTTCGTTCTGGCGCCAAGCCAGCTCCACCGGCTGCCATGCTTCCATCTGCTACAGCTCCTGCGGCCTCATCCATTGGGACAGCCAACTTCTTGTACTCACGGATTTTCATCCTTGCTCGGCCAGTTCCACCTCCTCTTTGCCTTTCCGGGCAGCCCACGATCGAAGTGATGGCATCACCACATCTTCAGGGCCAGCGTAGCCCGAGATGATCTTTGCTGCCCCCCAGTCTGGGGAAGTGGATGAGCCGCTGTTGTAGGCGTCCACTATGCTCTGGACGCGCCGACCTACTGATTCCATGCAGGCAAGGCTGGTCAGGTTGAGCTGGTCGTAGCAGCCCCCATGTTCGAGGACTTCCATAAGCGCTCGCATTTCATGCATCACACGATCATTCTCTTGTATACCCTTGAAGCGCGCCCAGGATTGAAGCCATAGCTTTGGAGAGCCCCCATGCTTGTGCATGTGTTTTATCAGATGCAGCACGCTCTGGGGGCCTTCGTGAGGCCAGTCTGGGTAAGCATATTCTCGACACTCTCTGCACACATCGCGCCACAGCTTGAAGCGCTCACCTTGGTCATCGTATTCCACAGCAAGCGTTCGGGCATCTTCTGCTTCCTGCGCCTCATCTCCAGGAGCTGCCGGCTTTTGATCCGGCTCTCCAGCAACTGGCCCAATGTCTTCCTTGAGAGAGGCACGGTTCTTCTCGCGGAGCTCTGACACAAAGTCGGGGGATTCAGCGACCTTCACTAGCTTGCACAAAGTCCAGCCCTTAGGGCCTTCCACTGCGCAAGTATTTGGACTGAGCAATACCGACTGCGCAAGACTATCAACAACCTCAGCGCCCAACTGAAAGTCCGGAGTTGAGTGCATGGCTAACCAAACCTTTCCAGCTGGGGCTGCATCAGCCCTCTGAGGTCCACGGCCTCGTTGCGACTCCTCTTGTTCAACTGGCAGCTGTAAGTGGCCTTGGTCCCTGCCTCGAACCCTTCTTGGGACCAACAAACGTCCCAAGTATTCGGTTGCCTCCACCTTGTCCCCATTCATGTTCATGGCATGTCGTGGTTGCCAACCCAGGTCAGTCCTTCCAAGTAGCCCCAAGTCTCTCAAGGCAGTCTCAACATGCTGCTTGAACTCGGAGTCGGTGGGGTATTCCCTAAATCTGTAAACCGGTCTGCGAGCCCTGGAGAAGAACTGGAAATCTACCCCTTTCACCTGAAAAGTCAAAGGGCCATTGTCAGAATCACCGGAGTAGTCCTCAGCATAGCAGTCTCCATCGGGGGTCAAAACATACCAAGTCTTGTCATCTACCCTCCAAACCAAGAGTCGTTCATGGAAAACATCATCATCAGAGTACCAAGCAAGCACGGTCTGCCCTGGCAGGCATCATGACAACACCTCCTCCACGTCGTCTCGGGCTTTGGAAAGGTTCATGAGTCGAAGAGCGGCTGGTCCAAATGCACTGGCAGCAGGTCAAGGCGAGAAGCCCCAGAGCAAAGCCAACTAGAACACCTGGTAGGGCCTTGTCTGTTCCCTCACACTGACAGTCACACTGACACCAACAGGTATGGTTCGACGAACAGGTAGGCAACGGAAGATCTGGGTATCGGGGGTAGTGTTTGAACCCAGCTTCCAAGATTCGAGCGACCCACAACAACGCGAGGGCACCCGTACCTCCCATTGCGGTGCCTACCTCCCCCTTCGCATCTTGAGCCCACCACCCATGTGGAGGAGCATATGGTGGTGAAACACACGTCATCCCAAGTGAACTGTCATCTTTCAATCTTCATGTGAACACACGTCCATGAAAAAATAATTGTGAACACCATGCAAGAAGAGGATTGACATGGCTCTAGCAGCCCAATGCGCCTCAAACAGTGCTTTCCTCCGTGTTTTTGCCCATGCATGACGCCCACATTGACTTGCTAGGACCCAAGTGGCAAATGAGGGCCGTTTCGTTCTCGGGATCCTGCACGAGCCCAAAAGCCAAAGCAAACGACAGAGGATGAAACCGTTTTTCAGAGAAGAAGCTGGAGGCTGTTGGTTCAAACACCAGAAGTCACTTAATAAATAAGGGTGCCGAACGGAGGAAGTCGGGGTGCCCAATAACATCCACTCTCCGGATGGGACTAGAAACCATGCCTATCTGTGACTCCTGGCAAATGGTTCTTTAAAGGAACAGCCTAATGACGACCTAGAATGGTGCTTCGACCTGTACGGCCCAAACGGGTTGATCCTTTGTAAGACCTGTCTGCCGCGGATCCCAGGCCCGGACATCGTGCAATGTGGTGGGTCTTTTGAAAGCACTGGTTTCCAGCCATAGCCCAGACACTCCATGGGACTGCCATACTCTGCCATGCCGCCCCATTGACCCCCCTGGCACCACCCCTGGCCGTTTCTCGGCAGTCCGGACTGGCAGTCCCAGACTGGTCGTGTTTGGGTAGTAGTACCTATTGGCAACTAGATAGCTAGATCCCCTGGGTTCCATACTGGTCCATTGTCACATTGCTCCATTGGTGAGTGACAATGATCTGTCCATTGTGATCAAGTACTTGATTGTCCATGGTATCCATGGTCAAACCTCTCCGATGTCGCTGCCCTTGGAACCTTGAGCGCGGATTGAGCACTGCTAGTTCGCCCCATGTCTCCATCAGCGCTCTTCAGCCGAGCTTAGGTCCTCTTCAAGGCTCGCTTGGAAGAGCTTCACCGCTCGCCTGTAGGAGTTTTCGAGGCAGTTGATGAAGGTACATCTAACAGGAGTCACGTTCGACGAGGTGCCGGGCGACCGAACGGAGGAAGGAGTATAGGTGCCCCTGTCACATCCACGGCCCCTGGATGGGACGAGCCACACCACCCCTGAGCTCTGTGACTCCTGGTAGGTCGAACCTCGCGTTCGGGATCCATCGATCTGGCCGTCCATCGGATGACCTTTCAGCCTGTGACCTGTCCAGATGGCTCCATCTGATCCGATCGATCCGAGCTCGCTTGGAAGAACATCGACGGGATCCAACGATGGGATCACGCGAAGAACAGCCACCAACCCAATGGGATTTAGCGGTGGACACGTCGATTGGGCTGCAATGTTTCAATTGGTGACGGTGTATTTTCTCAACCTGCATCAAGCGTGCCACATTCCACAGCCAATCTCCCTCAATAGATAAGATAGGATACATGGAGCTCGAAGCCTCTTTCGATGGGGTAGGCCACCCTCCAAAAACAAACCAAAACTGACTGGCATTTGGACCAGCTTGGACCAAACTTGAGGTTGGTCTTTGCGGCCTATAGGGGCTTTCAACATACGAAAGCTGCCACCACATGAGTCATGAGTTATGGATCACTACCCCGCTGAAAACTCACATAGACCCTGAAAACCATTGGTTTGTTCCACGGGTTTGTTCGACGGGATTTAGCGTTCGGACTTGTCGGGTGCCCGAATGTGCCCGACCAACTCACCGGGTTCCATGGGTCCATGGGGGAGGGCTAAAGCCGTACAAGTCCTCCAGCTAAAGCCGTTCAACCAATTCTCTGAACAAGGGCTCTTGCTCCCACACCCGTGACACAAATAACAGGGTGCAGCGCACCTGAGATCCTCGAGGTTCTGTGCCGTGTCGTAGGCCTGCACTAAGCTCACCTTGGAGCAGCGAGGCCTTCCAAGTGGAGCAAGGTTCTAAGGCTTCGAATGTGTTGTTGTTCTTTTTCTGTGAGCAGTCCCATGCGCGACTTCGTCTTTGGAAGGAACTTGATTTTGACCTTCATGATCGTTCACCATACACACCCTGGTCGTCCCAACCAAAAACTATTTTGCTCGTTCTGCACTGGATGATTCTTCAATATTCTTCACACACGAAGTGGGTCGACCATGGGGACTCCCATGTCATTCTGCTTCTGAATTTAGTTTATGCTGAGTTTCTGAAGACTGAGATGGGAGAGCTCCCAAAAAGAACCCCTGGAATAAAGGAAATGGATGAAGACCGATGAAGACTCCTGACTTGGGCTTTGAGAGACCAAAACGTGTTGGCTGACCTTGCACCAAAGGGCTGTCCGGGCACTCAGGTCCGTATCTCGTGCCCTGCTGCCTTCCCTGGGCCTTGGGTCAATAGTTGTGACTCCCTTCACAACCAGCAGAGGTTGAAGAACCCTATAGACTATCCTATAGGTACTCCTGCAGGGTCCTATAAGGTCACTTAACCTCTGTAGGAAGTTGGGATACTGCCCAACGAGACCTTCAGACCGTCGTCGTCGTCCGCCCCAGTGGCTGCTCGATCTGCAAGCTCCTGAGCCACCGGATTCACCTGATCGTGGCAGCTCTCCCCGCGCAACGCACCGCGTGGCGGGGCGCCAGCAGCACGGATTGAGGGACATGTTCTAGCTCCGGAGAGAAAGAGCTGGGGATTTGGGGGGGAATCAGAGTCCTGCAAAAGTTAAACCAGTTGTGGAGCCCACAAACATGTTGGAATGAACAAAGTGCCCAAGTTCTGTTTTGCTGTGCTTGCCCCTTCGGCCCAAAAATGGATTGTGTTTCGCCCGTCACCATCACCTGAAGTGGATCTGGATCTGACACATGGCAGCCGATTGACCAAAGTGATTGGGATCTGATGGACGAATCGAATGCAAGACAGACTGCCGGTGTTGCAAGAAATTGGAATTCGTGTCTTGTCATCAATATCGTCTACAACCACTCCAGAGTCGGCCATGCTGGTACTTTCACTGCTGCTACTGCGCATGACAGTGATATGACAGGCATGGTACTGCGCAGAAGGCCCATAACTGCATATAACTGCCCTGCCTGGCGAATCGCCGATGGCCAGAGCTGTGACACGAACGCGCTGTGACACGAGTTCCGCGGTCGTTGTTGGCAGAGCGGTTCCAAGGGGCGGAACTCGGAGTACCCTCTCCGCTCCACTCTACTGGGCCCTGGGGCAGTTCCCAGGAACTCGTGGAATACAGGTTGGCTCGATGGCGGCACAGACCCCATGAGGGTCATATGGGGCCATCTAAACCTCCGAACCTTGGGGATTGTGCCATTGAGCCTCTGAAACCACTAGTAGTACCACTAGTATTCAACGGCTGGCGGATGAAGCTTCACAGCTTCATTGGATTTGGACATCCTTCGAATCCTTCTTCTGGCGTAGCATGTGGCGGCGCTGTCGCGCAATGGCTAACTGACTTGCAAGTTCAAACAACGTCAGCAGCCGCCATGAACTCATCAGCGAGGTATAACCGCTTGACACTGCTGTTACTGTAAATGATAGGGCACAAAAATCTGACACTTCATCACGGTACTTTTTCTGTGGGCATGGGGGGGGTCGGTACCAGGTACCATACGTACCATATACCTAGGTACACTTTTTTCAGGTATCCCCTCCACTAATCAACCAACCAAGGGTGTAAAAATCCAACTATGGTTGCATCAACCCTCAACCATCTGCCCCCTCACGCCATCTTCCCCGAAGAAACGTCACCTGCGCGGCCGCCTCTTCCTCGCGAGCCACGTCTTGCTCGCGGCTCTTCCTGGTGACGACAGCTGGAGCTTGTTTCTTAAGGGGAGTTTATTTTCATATCTTTCGGTCGGAAGTGCAATTTAAAAGCCAACGAATCGCATCAACACGTTAACTACAAAGATCTACAAAGCAAACTCGCATGTTCCAAAGCCATCGTGACCCCAGGTGATTGCTTATAGGTGAACATGCTTATGACTTGGTACGGTACGCGTCGTGAGGAGCGTAGAAGGAGAACTCCCATAAGGCCGGTGCTCCAAAGCACTCTTGGCCTCTTCCAATAACGCTTCCTGAGCGCCGCGCGAGGCCCGGCACTGTTTAAACACCACGAGTGGTTGCCACGTTTGCATCTACCTTGGATGCCGGTAATCTGTACCCTGGAAGAGGAAAGTGACCGGTTGAGATCCCAGATTGAGGCCACTGAAGCCTCCAAAAGGTCACGTAAAAAGAAGTCTGGGACCCAAGTTCGGTGACAAACTGAAGAAGTTGTATATACCCATTCCCAAAAACTCGGGGGTATTGACCCCTCACGAAACTAGCCATGGAGTGTCTGGAATTTGGATAGATACGGAGCCTTCACAAAATCACCCTCACGGGCTACCCCTCCAAGAACCTTGTGGGCCGTTCAGAAAGCCCACCGCCGAGTGTTCACGGTCAGGACACACGTAAACCACCAACTTGGATATTTAGATTATACGTGATTATACAGTATATGGAATAAAGAACGCCGTAGTTTTCAGTCACAAATAGAGTCAAATGTTCATGTCTTGCCAATTCTTGACACTATCTGGGCCACTCCATAAAAGGTCGCAAATCCTCCAGGTCATTGACCTTCAGCCAAGTGTCCAATGCAGCGCTATCACCCAACGCCTGACGTAAAATGATGACACTTGCGGACGGCGGCGCCCTAGAGAAAAACATCAAGACATCCAAGCAGTTACTCCCCCTGCAATCATGGAAGCGGACGTCCTGGCCCCGAAAGGAAGACAATTTTCCTCTACCAAGAGGTGGTTGTCCACTTCCATCAATGTTTAGGGGGAGGGTAATTTTGATGTTTCACAGGGCATGACGTGCTTTAGGTGACCAGGTCAGCCCTATTCAATCGATGTTCAATCTTACAGTATGAGAGGACAACCGTTCTAACATGTTCTAACAAACCTGTAGCTCTGTCAATTGACTTGGTGTTGCTTCTCTCGCTTCAGATGGAAGATGTGAGTCAGCTAAGCGAGACCTGTATCTACGACAGAAGCGCTTTGGCTTCGGTGATCTTCTGTCAGAGTTCAGTCAGGGCTTTTTGGAGCAACCCATTTTGGTGTCCTCACATTTTACCAAGGGGACCAGGTCAGTCTTTATTCAGAGAAATCCCTCTGACCTGCTGATCTCTCGCCTTGATGCCACGCATGCACAGGGCTGCTGCATGGTCAAAGCGTTCCAAGCACAACGCAGAGCCTTGGACGGCAATCCGCTGCAAGCGCTCGCCGGACGGAGACCCGCCAGCTTAGATCATCTGAGGGAGGGCATGGTTTGACCATTTCACTCATTTCACGCCACAGGGTGGGCTCGTACAAAACGGCAAAGGAGGGTGGCCAACTACAGGGGCATAGACACCATCTCAATTGGAGGCAGGCAGGCAGGCAGGCAGAGTGAAAGTCATCATGGAATATCTCAAGAGTGACTCGCACACAATACTGCAGGATACTGCATCCATGGCTAGCATCGAGACCATGGTGACTCATGAATAGTGATACCCTTCAGGATCACATGATTTTTGTCTGGGGACTCTCCAGAGTGCCTACGTACTTTGGACTTCACAAACTCCGCCCGGCTGAGGCCCAGCTGTCTGAACGGCCCAGCTGTCTGGACGGTGGACACATGGAAGAAGCAAAGGTGGTTGCCTGGGAGGTCTCTCCCTATTCTATTACCCAAACACTCCATGTATGCCATATATGCCATAATATTGGGATGGTTTTAGGGGTTCAATGTGGGCATATATGGCATGCGGCATGCATGGAGTGTCTGGCAGTGTCTGCGCTACCGCTACGACCGGGGTATCCACTGAGCTTGCCACTTGCAGCTCGCCAGAAGCCACGGCCGTTCTCGGGGTCCTGGAAGGGTGACCGATGTGAAACAAAGACATGCTTCCCACAGCTACAAGCTCTCATGTCATGGCCAATGCATATAATGTAGACTGTTAACTCAACATTCTACAAGAACTATAATGTAATATCAATGTACAAAAACATGGAATCGTAAATAGAGCAAAAGCCCATAGATGTTTTTTTTTTCTGCTAGGAGATAGGATGGTCCACAATGGTCCACTGGTCATGGGACTAGAATTGAATTCAGGAACCCGTCAGGGAAACCTTTAAACACAAAAGACTACAGCTGCACTGATCCACTGCTCTCAGTCCGAGTCGATGGCAATATGATGTTCCTCTATACCGCCAGAAGTCATTTGATCAGGGTCAGCTCACTCCACACTCTACAATGCCCAAAACCAACATCCTCCACCAAAAGTTCGAGAGACGCCCTATTCTAATACTGTACCTACCCATACTAACTACCTATTTATATATATATCATATATCAAAGGGGCCCACGGGCCCATCTGCTGTCTTTTCCCTGTGGACATGTTGTGGAACATCTTCTAACACTATCCACACTCTCCTGAAACTCACCCTGTGGTAGGATGGCAACCTGAGAAGGTCGGACTCGTCGGGCGTCTCTCCATCGACTCGTCTTCCAAGCTTCGCCCGGCTAGCCGGGTGTGTTTGTTCACCGTCCAAGCACCACCCTTCTCCATCCGCCTCCACGAGCCCGGCTTCCGCCTCCTGGACGGCTGGGTGGGTGAGGACGACCCGAAAACGACGGTGGTCCGGCCCCGCGCGGGCCGTAGGCGCGGGCCGTAGGCGCGGGCCGTGTTCGTTCAAGCACCCCAGAGTGGTCTCTTTCTGCATGTCAGTCAGTGAGTGGTCTCTTTGTGCAGGAACCACTGCTTGAGATCCTGAAGATGTAGGCTGTCAGGAAGCTCATCGCAACTGGTGAGTGCAACAGAAAGATCTTGACGATTTCATGTCCTCTGGCAAACTTCGGCACTTTGATGACATCTGATGCTATCGAGGGTTGCTGGGCAGCCGACGGCATTCCTACGTAAATGCTCCTCACCCATGCAAAGGTCCACCTCAAAGTCTACAGGATAATTCCTTCTTGTTGGGGTGAAAACCATGGGTTCCCATAGATGTGTCCCTTCAACCAATCCATTGAAAAAAAGGGTCGACCGTGGTTTTCTTCATCCGCAAGAGGCCCTAGAGGCCCAGTTGAGATCTCTACAATTTGGGTGAGCATGGTGAGCATTTGGGTGAGACAGTTACACACATCAATGGTACAAAAGCACAAAAAAAAACATACTTATTTTGTTCCAACGAAACACATCAAAGTTTCTTTGAACTGTTTGCTTAGAATTATATACCACACTTCACATCCCACTGGTCTTCTGTGACAGGATGCGTTTCTTCTCACACGTCCCAGAAAGGTTACAGGACAAGCGTGAGACCCAACACGGAAGGGCAAACCAGACTGGCCAAGTGTCTTGCAGAGTCTGGTCTACATATATATTATATATCGAGATGCTCAAATTCATTACATGGGTGTTTATATTTTAATAGCCCCTGGCCCTGGCTGGGTGGTCTATTTCCCAAACCTGCCAGGGGGGACCAATTTCTTCAGCAGGTCTTTCTATCTTTAGCCTTCCCTCCAAGCCTCCAAAGCCTCCTGGTGCCGCTCCAGGCGTGCGTGGGCCTGAGCAAGGTTGGATTTTTGAGGCCACTTTTCTCCGGGCAGACCTGCAGCTCTCGTGGGATGCAGCTGCATAAACTATCATAAGTATGATGTTGTAATAATCTATATATGTAATATATTACATATGCATATATATATATGGAAACTATATCAGTAATAGCTATTCAAATATCTAGTGGGTGAGGTTTCTGGAACCACAGGCATCCACCGGTGAAGTCTGCTTCGCTCGAAAACCATGGCCTGGGTGTCGACTCGTTGTTCCCACAGCATGGTGCGGTCAAGCTGGACCAGAAGGACAGGTTCGCCAGCGAAGCTCGGCTGCGGGGTTTGACCAAACGGGTTCGAACACGCAACACGCTCTGTCTCACTAAGATCATAGTCAACACATGATTGAGGAACCTCCTATCAGTAAGGTCCATTTTTCCAATACACTCCCGAAAACTTACATGGACCCTGACTGTCTGGCCCGCTGGAAGAGTGTTTTCCTCTACCAACCAGTGGTTTTCAGGGTCCATGGAATCGTCTTCCAGGGTGTACGAAGCGCCTTTCCAATACGACCGTCTGGCCATGTCCGGCCTAACCCCAAGTCGCTCAGGGATTTGGGAGGAGCTGTTCTGGTGCATCAAGAACAAGCACTCTTCTGAACCCCTCAGTCCCCAAAGCAAGATTAAAGATTATCCATTGAGTGGGTCCGGGTAGATCTTGGAAGTGTCCATTTATATAAGCCAACCGAAACCTGTTGGACACGTTCATGCCAGCGCCACGAACACATCGTGCCTGTGCACGGTTCACGTAGAGCTGCCCAAGGAGTTTCCCAGTGATCTTCGACTCCAAACAAAGCGCGATGCCCCGGCCGTAGGACTCCTGCGACGGGCACGTTGCTTTCGACCGTGACAGTCGTCACGGGGCAGTCATGCGGTTGCGGTGGTCTACCACGTACCAGCATAAAAACATGTCTGCCGCCCTGAGTGATCTGTCGTGCAGGTTTTTGCGAACGCCTCTTCATTGAAACACCCGATTGAAACTGAAGCTATATAGAGAAAACTAAGCAAATCCCTTTGATTTGCTTTGTAAAACCCAAGCAATTACTTTCAGTCATGAAAAGCCATGAAACCCTGGTACAAGGCCGAACGTCCAATACAGCGTAAAGGACCCCGGTCCAGTGCTGCTTCAGGATCGCCAGCGCTTAGCTTGCTCGTGCCATCCGCCTTCAAAGCGTTCGCCTCAGCAGGGCAGGTGGCCCAGGAATTGACAGTATGACGCTGATTGATGATTTGTTGATTCATGGATGTTCCTTCGATTTCCTTCTCCAGGCGGTGTCAATGTGGTGTCCACATCAGAACTGGAGGGAGTGCATGAGGGAGGCACTGATCGAGTGGAACCCTCGCTCAGTGAGCTTCTCCACACCACTCCAACCGATTGGGGGGCACCTGCGCATGATGGTCGGTCCATGGGGGTATATTGAACTCATTTAAAACAGGGCGACCTCCTAGGCGTTCCAGCCCCCTGGAAGGTGGAAATAGGGCCCAAACGGTTTCTCCCCCTAATTCAGAAACACACCCACCAGGACCCTCCAACAGGCTGTTTGGAGACCCTGGTGGCTTTTGGGCACCTGTTGTCACCAGGAAGCACCTGTGAAGTCGGGTCCAGGCACATGTACCTTCAGTAACTGGCTCCAACGATGGGTGGCCGACAGTCTCCATGAGTGCTCCCTTGAAGGAAAAACACTCCGGGCCGAGCTTTGCAGGGTCGAACGAGACCCAACTTAGGACTTGTGGGATGAGGCTTTTCAAGTCTTTTCCTCAGAGTGATTCAACTAAACCGGCACCACCTGGTATGAAGTGAAACAAAGTGGCAGTGCCACTGGTGGCACCAGTTCGGGCCCTAGTTCTGCTCAAAGATCGTATCCCTACAAATCGCCCTGACATTCTTTGAGTCTGCAAGGCATTCACCTTTTGCTGTCCTGTTCAACACATGCAAGACGCCCTCCCCTGTTGATCCAGTCCTAGTTCTCTTGCAGCGGAAGTATGTCCAGTCCAGAACTCCAAACAAACCCAACAGAATCCAGATACCTCGGAATCCCCACGAGTTCCGATCCCTCTGGTCCCATCACCGTGGTCGCGTTGCGAGCTGGAGTCCCACCAGTCGCCGCCGAGTGGCTTCGTTCATGGCCTCTTTCTCGCTCCTCGGTCCGAGGTGTTCGTCCCCAACATCCGGGACCGAAACGGGGCGACCCGGGGCATCCCGGGCGAACTGGAAGGATGGATGGCTTCCGTAGCAGTTCCGAAAGGATCCGAAAAGGTGGGCAGGTTCATGCAGGTTCGGATCTCGGAACTGGTCCACATCCCAACCCAAGGCCACCGAACCACGGATGACCCGGTGGCTCCCGGGAGGCCACTCCAAAGCGTGGATGCTGATTGGACGGGTGCAAGCTGGAGAAAAGGCGTGTGATTCACCCGATCATGTTCGGTACATGTTGTTTAGAATTGTTTATACAAGAGGTTATGAGGTGTTCAATCTTTATTGTTTGGTTTTGTTTGGTTATTGTTTAGTTCGGTACAGTTGTCAATGTCTTGGAGGTTTATGAGTCTTGCAATGGCCCAACACATGGTATTCGACGT